GAAGGATGACGAAAATCGATTGTTTATTCTTGTTTTATTTTCAACACTTTTATAAATCGATAAACAACGTATCTAATATTTAACACTCACATGTCCATTAAACGTTTCTCCTGGCAGCGATTCAATCTAGGGGGTAGACACGTAGAATAGGATTAGACTTTTTAGTGTAAAAATTCGAGAAATTAAAGTGGAATAGAGAATTCAGTAGCTGTCCGTCTATGGAATAGCGAAAATGGGTTAATACAAAGTTTTTGTAATCGATAGTACAGAATTTGATAAAAGCATTGAACTTGTTTTGAGATAGTAATTTGTTCTTTTTTGAAATATTTTTTAGTTCAAAGGTCGATTACAAATTTACAAAACAATAGATACACTTTCTCAAAATTTTATTGATAAAAAAAATAATTTTAATTATCAATAACAAAATGTCATACTCCAGTATCGATAAATAAGTTTTCAACAAAGTGAATAGCGGCGAAATGTGACATCACATTTGACAATGAAATGACGGATTGGTGGAATAGTAGGATTAGTATTTTTATATTGGAATCATGGTTTAATCGTTTGTGTATCCCCCCTAGGATTCAATATAAGTGACTCGAATTGTTGAATCAACATCGTAGACGTTGAAAATTTGATCCCATCTTTGTTTAAGCTGTTGTTCTTCGTCATCGTTCATTGTATCTATCGTTCGAAAATCTGTAGGTAAAACAATAACATTATTACAAAAATGCATCACAATTTACATGAAGTTATTTCCAAATCAATTTTCAACCCAAACTGAATGCGCCTATGCTTGAAATCCAAAAAATAAATTTTATTTTCTATGCAATTTTCTTCTTGGTGTGTTCAATTTGAAGGATTTCAATGAACTGAGAGTATTGGATTATTGGATTCGTACGGGGAGTATACTAGGTCTACTTTTCAGTAATATCCGTAGTTTCTCGTTGCTCAGGTTTTTTAACCTATTGCAAGACGCCCGCTTGTGTGCCTAATGCACACCAATAAGTAGTTATCCAAAAATGGGGTTAAGGCAGGAATTTAATTCACAAGCCTTTTTGAAAAAATCTATGATTTCGAAAATTATTGGGGCTTCAGGTCGTTGTGGATCTATCAATCCATCGAAATCTATCCTCAGGTTGGCCAATCCTTGACATCTGAAAATGAGGTGAGCTGTGGTTTCCACTTCTCTTCCACATAATCTGCAATCAGGATCGTCTCTGAGACGTAGGTTTCTTAGATGATAGTTGACCTTACTATGCCCCGTCAAGAGACCAATGGCAATTCTAATATCACTCTTAGGTAGTCTCAGAAGTTGTCTGGTCAGTCTAGTACACAGTGATCTGACAAAGAATTTTGTCTGTTCGCATGTGAGTATATTTTGCCAATTCTGTATGCTTCGTGTCTTGAGCCATGTGGCCAGGGTTTCCCTTACTCGTGAGTAATCCACGGGAAGAATTGGCTTCGGCCCCATAGCTGTGCTTCGTGAAGCCTCCTTGGCACTCAGATCTGCCACGTCATGTCCTCTAATGTTTGAGTGTGCCTTAATCCAGACAACCCTAGGTGGATTAGTCTCGGCTATTCTTTGGAGTGCATTGTAGCAGGCCATAATTGAGCCATTCCTCACTGTAAAGCTTTGAAGTTCTTTTATGGCTCCCAAGCTGTCAGTGAAGATGGCTATGCTTCCCTCTACTCTGTCCTCCAAAATTTTTAATGCACATTGATAAATTGCAGTTACTTCCGCTTGTTTGACTGTTGTAGTTAGTCCCAAGGGAATCGAAAGAGCGTTGTTCTCCCTTGAACAGAAGATACCACACCCGCTTCCCGTTTCTCTGACTGAGCCGTCAGTGAAGTAGGAGGAGTGCGCCCACGTGCTGTGTAGAAAAAACTCATTCAAATCCTTAGTCACTATTACCTCAAATCTTCTGTCGAAGTTATAAGAGGTTTTAGGAAGTCTATCAGCTGGTGCTTCTAGAACACTATCGATTATGAAGAGATTTTTGAGTGATTCTGTGTGAGAATCTTTAACAAATATGTTGGTTTGCGGTTTTAACCTAAACGCAGTCTTCATTGCTTCAGATTCAATGAAGTCTTCTAGTCTAGGTAGACCTAAGAGCGCATCGAGTGCGGCCCGTGGTGTGGTGCTCATTGCTCCAGTTACACACATACATGCGACTCTTTGCAAATGGTTTAGCTTTTTCCTGGCATTGATGGTTCGTGTACCTCTCCACCAGATGAAAGCACCGTATGCAAGCATTGGTTTAACTACCCCTGTGAAGAGCCAGAGCAGACATTTGGGTGATAGACCCCAAGTCTTACCAATGGCTGTTCTGCAGCACCAGAAAACTCTTAAACACTTTGAGACTTTATACTCAATGTGCGCTTGCCAATTAAGCTTTTGGTCTAACATTACACCCAGGTATTTTACGCAGTCCTTCCTTTCAATTTCTTTACCGAATATGATTGGATTTTTAAAACCTTGTAAGTTCCTGTTTTTTGTGAAAATTATTACTTCAGACTTTGCAGGGTTAATCTTAAGTCCCACTGACAGACACCACTTTTCAACCAGCCTTACGGCCGCCTGTATCCTGTCTGAGATTGTATTCAAAAATTTTCCCTTGCAAATTATACTAAGATCGTCGGCATATCCAACCGAACGGAAGCCATTTTCATGAAGTTCTTTTAGAAGACCATTCATGACAATTAGCCAAAGGAGTGGCGACAATACACCGCCTTGGGGAGTTCCCCTTGACGCCTGTACCGTCATATTACTCCCGCTCATCCGCAAGACTATGCTTCTATTTTCGAGCATGGATTTAATCCACGTCTGTATGAGCTTGTTTTTAGTGCTATTCATCACTCCTTTATTTATTGCTTCGAAAGATACGTTATCAAACGCTCCTTCAATGTCCATAAATATTGTTGTCATAAACTCCTTGTCAGAGAATGTCTTCTCAGCCATGGAGACTATGTCGTGGAGTGCTGTTTCTGTTGAGCGACCCTGCTGGAAAGCGTGTTGGCTTTCATGCAAATGTCCATTAGATTCAATCTCTTCACGTAGACATCGTTCAATCAGTTTTTCCAAACCCTTTAAGAGGAATGATGACAGACTGATCGGTCTAAAAGATTTCGGTGACGTGTAGTCGGTTTTACCTATTTTAGGTATGAATGTCACTTTTACATATCGCCATGGGGTTGGAACATGACCCAGAAGTATTGAGGCCTTGTATATGGATACAATGATGTCTCCAATAATATCCCATGACTTTTGTAAGAGACTTGGGTATATCTCATCTAACCCTGGCGATTTGAATGGTTCGAATGAAAATATGGACCATTCAGTACGACTTGGTGATATGAGTTTATTTGTAAAATTTATATCATGTTCCGTGTTCACCGTTTCAGGTATAGGGGCTTGTAATCCCCTCAGAGTCGGAGAGACGGCCATGATATTTTCTGGGAAATGAGTGTCTAGTAGAAGTTTTGCAGCTTCTTCATTAGACTCTGTATAGCTTCCATCCTGTTTGACGAGGATGCCTGGTCCTTGTGAGGGGTCCTTGGCTAAAAGCTTGTGAATTCGTGATGTGCTTTTAGCACCATCAATCTTGCTAAAGAATCTTTTTTCAGATTCCCTTTTAGCAATTACGATTTGTTTGGCGTAATTATTTCTGCTCCTTTGCCATATTTCATGACAAATTGGACCTTGGGGTGTATCTTTTCGGGCTAGAAATATTCTTAATAGCCGTCTTGATTCCTTTCTCAGCCGAGCTAGATCTGAATTCCACCAATTGTTTGCTTTCCTCTTAAGTTCCCGTTCTGGACATGACTGATAAAATGCAGACCTCAAAGTTTGCTCAAATGTCTCAGCTATATGGTCAATTCTCTCACGTGTAGAGAGATCCTGACACAAGGTACTAAGATTATGAGCATTTCTTCCGATCCGTCTCCTCAGTCTAGCCCAGTTCGTATTCTTAGGGTTTCTAAACTTCTCTGTAGGTTTTTTGGCACATAACAGTTTGAGGTTGATCTCCCGGTGATCGGATAATCTGTCCTCTCTTACCACATGCCAGTCCTCCACTAAGTTCGATAATGACTGTGTGGCCAGTGTAATATCTAATACTTCAGATCTGTTCCTTGTAACAAAGGTAGGTGAATTGCCTTTGTTTAGAATAACTAGGTCTGTTGTTGCTATATATTCAAGAATTTCTTCTCCCCTACTGTTTGTGTCTGAACTGCCCCACACCGTATGGTGGGCATTGACATCACCGCCCATAAGTAATGGGAGATTGTTTGCTTTGGAGAAGTCGTATAGAGCCTTGAAACCTTCTCCGGGGACATCCCCATGTGTAGGGTTCTCCAGATAGAAGGAGCTCAGTATAATATGTGAGTTTGCTCCAGTTACAATTTTCACAGAAGTGATATCTCTAGAGCTATACTGTGGCAAGAGTGTCACTTGTATGTCTCTAGTCGTCACTATACATGATCTGACTGGCTGTGTAGAATTGTTAAAATAAAACAGCTTCAACTTATCCGTGTCAACACCACTGACCTTGTTTTTCATAGTCCATGGTTCTTGACACAAATAAATTGTGTCTTGTTTTTTTGTTTGCATGTCACATAACGTTTTGCACATTAGTGCAGACGCTGCTTTGCTATGGTGCAAATTGATTTGATTTACGCTAATCCATGCCATATTATTCAATTGATTTGAAATACTGACATTAGATGTCGCGTTAGATGGTGAGCTCACATTTGTACTAGCCATTAGACTATTTCAAAAGGAGTTCTTTGAGGACAATGTAACGAATGTGACATCACTTGGGGGATATATTTACATACATCCCTTTTCGCGGTCTTCATTCTCAAGCGACTGATCTGGTGGTTCCGCCTCGGCTTTGTCAGTAACAGTAACAGTAACAGTAACTGAGAGTAAATATAGTATGAAGAACTGAGAGATCATTCAAAGTATACTACGTTGACAAATGAGCATCAAGTAAACAATGCATTCCAGGAGTTTGTATACATCACGTACATGTCCAAATACATTGTTATTTTTTTTATCCTTTCTTGTTTTTGCTATTCTCTCCTCTAGTGCAACCAATTGGCCTTTGCAATCGTAGCAGTTTTATACATGAAATTTTCTATGTAAAAATGCATATAATATTTTAAAGTCTACCACTTAACGCTGAAGTAATAAAACAGGCTGAATATTCATTTGAAATGAAAAGAAATAGCACGCTATTTCTGATAAAATAATAGAAGTGATTGTTTTAATTATTGTACCAACGTAAGTGTTTTATAACCAAAACAATCACTTCTATTGTTTTATCAAAAATAGCGTGCTATTTCGTTTCATTTCAAATTAATATTCAGCTCAATATATTGTCTGTAATAAAATACCTGGAATTTTCTTGTTAAATTTACCTTTTTGAGAATTTTGCTTTAACCATCCAAAACAAAGAATGAGCAGAAAAAAAAACTTGAAAAAAAAGAGAAACCACAAAAATTTATGTTCAATACA